ATCATTTCTCAACTGGGCGTACCAGATCCTTGACCACCAGCCTATTTCCTAACCCTCCAGGTGACAGTCACAAACATACTACAGAAGTTACACAGTGTAAACAGGTGCCAACAGTAAAGAGGAGGAGTCTGCTAAATTTCTTGAAGTGATTGTACTTCATTGAGATTTTCACATAACAAGATAGCATTGGACTTCAGTTTTCACAAAGAAATTATCTCAAGTGTAATGTTCACAAATCCTTTACAGAAGAATTACCTGAAAATCATTTCCACCTAAAAGAATAAGAATAGCCAAAAAGAATAATAATAACTCAGGAAACTAGAAGACAAAGGAAAACTAGAAGAGAAAGGATTCTAGATAGCTTGTCAATAAACATGTCAAATCTAATGTACAGTTAGGAAATAAAAAGGGTAAAAATTCTTTTTCTTGGGGGGGGTGGGTAAAAATTTTTAACACAAATGTAAAATAGAAGCAGCTTTCTCCATCAGACTCTGAATGAGAAGAGTACTGGTAACTAAAAAAAAAAAAAACTTCAGAAGAGCAGAACTTAAGGAAGAGCAATGGAAATCATGAGAGGTGGTGAAAAGAGGAAATAAATAGTGACAAAAACAGGAACTAGCTTTCAGTTCCAGTTCTGTGTGCCCTTGGGGGGACGGGAAGTGATGGGGCCACAAACTTCACCACAAGATTAGCCTATGGCAGGGTGGCAGACCCAGCTCTGGAGGAAATCCACACCTCCTGAAAGCCTTAAAAAACCAGCACAGTGATCTGGTGGGAAGCGACTTCCCCGGTGTGACAGGGCAGCATCCGACAACAACTTGTCACTCTTAGCCATTTCTCAAGTGCCATCTTGAAGGGTTTCTTCCTGGAGACTGAGAGCTCAGGGAATCAGGTAACTAGAGCTGAGCGCAAGTGCTCTACAACCAGGCCAGCCTTGGGCCTTGGAATAACCAAGGAATAGTTGGTGATACGGGTGTTGGGTGCATACAGCAGTCTTAGTGAAAGACTGTCACCAGAGAGAAAGACCAAGGACGGACTTGCCTTGGGCCTACTAATTGGCAGCCCCACTCTGCCCAGTGAGAGTGGCTTCATTTCCATAGGGCCCTTTTGAAAAATAAGGCATCTAGCCTCCAGTGCCTATTAGAGTGGCCAGGCTCAAGTAATGGCTTATAAGAAGCTTTCAGCCAAGGAAGACCTGAAGCAGAGCATAGTTACAGTAGGGGAGGCGGGGAATAATCGGCAATCAAGGAGTTCTGGGTTACTATCCGGGGTCCAAGTGTCCACAAAAAGTGGACAAAGATGGAGAGGTCTTGCCCTGGGCTGAGCCATAGCAACTTCACTACCAAAGCATCTAGCTTCTGCTAGCAGAGAGCTCAGATTACAGTGATTACAACTGGCTTAAAGCCAGTCCTGGTTTGGGACTTTGCCACAATCTGGGGACTTAAAAGTCAGGGATTTCTGGGTCACTCAACCAAGGTATTCATTCAGGTAGAAGACTGCTGAGGCCGACCTGTTCAGTGACAAGTTTCATTGCCTGAAGGACATTTCAGATCTCCCCTCTGCTGGTGGAGAGCTCAGATTGCTAGGGCTGCTGGAGTGATCAGTTTACATTCGCAGCCTACAACCCAGCAGACTTAGAGACTGAGCTATTCCCTGCAGGCCTGAGAAGCAATAGGAACAGTCAGTGGATAGCCATGAGTAGTGGCCCTGGAAAGGAGAAATGCTTGCTGGAGAAAGGACAAGCTGAGAATTTAAAGCAACCACTGGAGCTTGGGCAATGATGGGACAGGGAATCAGCAATCCACCTTCTACCACTAGAGCAAGACCCAGTGCCTGAGGGATCGCCACAGAAATACCACCACACCCATGGCTGCCATACCACCTATGACCTTTTTCTTTTATTTTTTGTCAGTCGTGGGACTTGAACTCAGGGCCTGGGCACTGTCCCTGAGCTGCTTTTGCTCGAGGCTAGCACTCTTCTACTTGAACCACAGCACCACTTCTGGTTTTTTCTGTGTGTGTGTGGCACTGAAGAATCAAACCAAGGGCTTCGTGCATGCTAGGCCAGCACTCTAAGCCACCTTCCCAGCCCCATCATTATTTTCAATGACACATTTGCCATAATTAGCTATGTCAAAATTAAGCCAACTGGAAGAGTTCAAATATTTCTGAACTTACCCCAGGAATCCTACATAGTTGTAAATGAAAGTAGAAATGCCTTATTATCTAATTTAAGACACAACCTATGACATTCAAACATAGTTACCTTAGGAAATCTTAAAATTACCTTAATCCTACATAGTTGATTTTTTGTTTGTGTGTGTGTATCTATATATAGATACAAACAAAACACACAAAAGTTGGGGAGTAAACAACCAAAAATTAAGTTGGAGAACAGATATACCCTGCTTCAAAAATTATATATAATAAAAATTATATGTAATAAAGCCATTAGGGCATGATTTTATACCCAGTCCCTATTTCCTCCTCTCTCTGCTCCCTGTCTGTCATAATGTGAATAGCTCCTGCCACAGGATTCTGCCATCATGATTATCTGCCTTCTTGCATGGGGCCAAGTGACCATGAACTACCGTGACACTGTACCTGAAAATAAGTAATTCCTCCATATTTTTCTCTCTCTCAGATATTTTGGTCACAGCTACCCAAAAGCAACATCAGCTGTTTCAACCATGCCAACACCCATGGAGTGCTTTACCAGCTACACACAGAAAAATGGGTCTCCAAGCAATTCTAGATACAAAAGGCATGCTAGAGCTCTTTCCTGAAATAGTTCTACCCTGGAAGAACTTCAAATGAATTTGTACTTCCAGGCCTCTAAGAGAGTTGTGAGGAGGAATACAGCATCGAAGATGGTTGAGATGCCTCTAAAGCATCTTTCCCATTGTCCTCATGTTGAGCATTTGGCTTCAATCCACACCAGTCTCTTTAGTGACCACCACCTTCTTGTTTTCAATCCACACCAGTCTCTTTAGTGACCACCACCTTCTTGTTTTCAATCCACACCAGTCTCTTTAGTGACCACCACCTTCTTGTTTGTACCCGTAGGTGCTTTTTCCATTCCTTTTTTTTTGTACTAGCTTGAAAAATGTTCCACATCTTCATAACATGTGTCTTTTTGATCCCAAGTTTCACTGCAAAGCTGACTAAAAGAAGTTAGTAATACCCAGGCCACAGGCTGGCTGCTTTTTGTTTTAAAATCTGTTCTGCCAAATCGACTACTCCATCACTCTTCAGTTGAGCCTTACATAGTCTTAGGACATGGACATAGGGCAGCCAGGTTCTTTGCACTGGTGAATAAGAATGGCCTTTCAACCACTGCTCAATATTTATTTATGTCTGAAAACCCATCAGTATGGTCTTTACTACCCACATTTTTTATTAGCATTCTGATCTTCTGAGTTCCCTCTCTCAGTCCCCCACCAAGTCACCTCTAACACTGTTTGCAACATCATATGTTAACCCTCTAGCTTGCATCTCCAAATGACACTGTACACTTCTATCAACCAGTTTCAAAATTCCCTCTACATGCTTGTGTGTGGTTATATTCATACCACCCTTCATTCATTGGTGCCCGTTTTTGCATTGTCAGATTTGTATTACATCAACAGCAACTAACTTTCCAAGGAGAACAGGCTTGTTTAGCTCACACCTTTTAAGATTCAAAGACCAAGATTTCATGGGTCTACTGGTTTGGCCTGTAGGGAAGGTCATGACTCTTGTACACTGCAAGTCCTTGCAGGAGAAAACAGTCGTGTTAAAATGGCACAAAGAGAGAACACAAGACACAGGGGAACTGTCATCACAGAAATGGATTTGAAATTTTATGGGAAATAGCCAAGGTATGGAATCAACCCAGATGCCCCTCCATGGAGGCATGGATCAAGAAAATGTGGTATATATACACAATGGGATTTTACTCATCCATTAGAAAGAATGATATTGTGCCCATTGTAGGGAAATGGAAAGACCTAGAAAACATTATGTTAAGTAAAGTAAGTCAGGTCCAGAGAAACAAAGGATGCATACTT